CCACTGGGCTCCGGCGATCCTTCCACCTCAGCCTTCCGAGTAGCCGGAATCACAGGCGTGCGCTACCACGCCTGGCTGATTTTTTGATTTATTGTAGAGATGAGGTTTCGCCAGTTGCCCAGGTGGGTCTTGAATCCACAACCTCAGGCAATTCAGTCACCTCGGCCTCCCAAGGCACGGTATTACAGGCTGAGCCAGCTGTGGCTATTCTTAATGGCTGCTATGAGCCTTCTCTTCTAAGTCTTGCTGTGGGTAGGTGTCTTTATTTCTCTTGGGTAAATGCCTCGAGCAGTGGGTCCGCTGGCCCTAGGACAGAAGGTGCTTACCTCTGTGAGAAGCTGCCACCTGGTCCTCCAGGCAGTTGGGCCTCTGCAGGCCTACCAGGAATGGGCAGGTCCCCAGTGTTCCAGGTTCTGGACAAGAACTTGGTGATTTTAGTCTTTCTGATTTGTTGAACATTATGAACAGAAGTAGTCTTCAGATGTTAAAAAATGAAAGGACTGCTGGGCTTGATGGCTCAGCCTGTAATCCCGCGCTTTGGGAGGCTGAGGCTAGTGAATTGCCTGAGCCCGCGGGTTCGAGACTCGCCTGGGCAACTTGGCGAGACCTCATCTCTACAGTAAATTAAAAAATTAGCTGGGCATGGTAGCGTGCGCCTGTACTTCCAGCTACTTGAAAGGCTGAGGCGGGAGGATCACCGGGGCCCAGCAGGTCGAGGCTGCGGTGGCCGGGAGCGGCCACTGCACTCCAGTCTGGGTGACAGAGTGAGACTCCAACTCAAAAAACAAAAACAGAAACAAAATAAAAATAAATAAATGAATAAAAGGATCACAGCTGCATAGACAGAGTCTGTGTTGGGGAGGGGGGTGGGAAGTTATCCAGGCGAGAGCCAAGAGTGGGACGGTGTGGCCGCTGGCATCAGGTGTGCTTTGGAGGAAGCAGCAGCAGGCCTGGCTGCTTGCCCAGCCACGGGGAGCGTGAAGGATGGCTGCCCAGGCTGTCTACTCGAGGCCCAGAGGGGTAGAGGTGGAAGGCTGCAGTGGGACCAGACGTTGGCACTGGAACCCTTATGCTGGAGTGTCTTAGTTATCTAGGTGGGAGTGACGGGGCCAGTGGCTGTTGAGGTGGGAGTCTGGGTGCAGGGGGCTCACAGGAGGTGTGATTCGGAAGTCATCCAGGGCACCCAGATGGTGTCTGAACCAGGCTGGGTGAGCTTGCTGGGGTGTGAGTTTAGGTCGTGGAGCGGGGTGGAGCTGAACTCTGGCCACCCCCCGCTCACTGAGAGGCCAAAATTCAGCAAGAGACAGAGGGGTGGCCAGCACGGGAGGAGGACGCTTGGGGCTGGCCCAGAAGCTGAACAAGAAGGGCACGGGGAGGCTGCTGACTGGCAGATGTGGAGGCGAGGGGCGCCTCTGGGTGCGGGGGCGCAGAGGAGGCCGCGACCTTGGTGGCAGTGGCTGGGGGAGGAGTGGGCGGTGGATGGGAGGAGAGGAAGTTGATGGCAGAGGTGCACAGCCTGGAATCGTGTTGCAGAAAACATGAGGCTTTGGCAGCTGGAGACTCGGTGTCTGGGGAGCATCTTCTGTGAGCCAGCTGGCCCACGTGGAGGGGCGGAGAGTGAGGACTGCTGGGGTGGGGTCGGCAGGTGAGGGTGGAGCCGCTGAGGCTGGGGTGTGGGGGTGCGGAGCCACTCAGCCAGGTGTCAGGTGAGAGATGGGCGGGGGACTGAGGAGGGGCTGGCCGTGGAGAGAGGGCAGAAGGGCCAGGGACTGTGCCAGGGTTGCGGGACGGCACCAAGGGCCCTGAGAACACGTGGACAGTGCTCTAAGGTGGGGCCTCACAGCACAGTATTGCTGTGTGTGTATCCGTTAGTCACACTGTCTACACTCGACTTCTCAGGCCAGTAAGACTGGGAGAGGGTGAGGAGTTGGGCGTGTGTGAGAACGGGGCTGACACCCAGGGCCCTGGACACAGCTGCCACTCCAGATGCTGGACTCAGCCCCCCTAGGGTAGCATGCCACTCCCAGGCTCGGTGGCTCAGCCCCCTGGGACATCTTCCTCCCACCCCCACCCCCCCTCAGCCAAGGGGCTGTAGTTTGTGGCGTCTCGCCCCTCTTAACAAGGCTTGGTGGAAACGCATCTCCTGAGCGGATCACTGTGACCACTCCCTGCATCAGGTAAAGCCCTTTGCTCTTTCTCCGAAGAAGGAACTTCCTACTCTGATGTCGTTCTTTTTGGAGTGCGTTCTGCTGGCCAAAGCAACCACAGCAAAGCCTTCCCTTGCTTTCTGAGAGACATTTTCAAGAAGGCTTTGAATCGTCTAGTTAATGACACAAATGCTATTCTGGAGTTTCTCGTGTGTCTGCTAGTTTGTCACACAGACCCTAGAGGCACTTGGTGACTTTGGAGGGGTGACAAACTGTCTGATGAGCATGGTGGTGAACACCTGAACTTCTGATTCCAGAGAAGTTGGAGATGGTGAGGGACCGTGAGCGACAGGAGGAGACCTTCACCCCGATGCCCAGCCCTTACTACACAGAACTCACCAAGCTGCTGCTGAATCAGTAAGTAGCACACCCGGAGGCCTGCCAGCCTGCCTGGCTCCCCGTGCATGCCGGGGAAGTGGCCGCATGGCCGCCCGCCTTCTCGGGTCAGGGTGACCCCAGAAGGCCACCTCTGGGCATGCACGCATGCTGGGCGCTGTGTCTGTCTGTCTCTCCCCATGCGTTCCTCTGTGCCTCTCCCTTCTCCTTTCCCTCCCTCCTCAGTGAATCCCAGGCTCCTATTCCACCTCCTGCTGCTTGACCTTGGGCCCGTGGAGCCTGTCCTCTCCAGCCATGGCCTTTGCCATGTGTGGTGCAGCTGCGTTCCTTTTCCCCCTCAGGCATGCAGCTTGGGTTCTGCGTGTCCCTTGCAGGAAAGGCCAGAGGCTCCCCTTTGCCTCTGCCCTTGAGCCACAGGGAGGCCCACTCATGGCAACAATGTGCCGAGGGAACCCCTCCCCGGGTGCCTGCCTCCTTGCGGGCGCCTACCATCTGCATTCCCGTCTTCACGTTGCAGCCGTGGTGTTCTTTCCAGCCCCTGCTTGAAATCCTTGGAGCCTTTCCCAGAGTGGCCCTCGAGTCCCAAGCGTGGTACTCATGGCTGCGCTGCCTGGTGGCTGCCACTCCCTCTACCTCTCTATAGCCGTCCTCTGACTCTGGAGGGCTTGGACCCTGGTCCTGTTCCTGTTGCTTCTGCACCCATCCTGGGATCCTCGTGACTTGGCACAGACCGTTCCCTCCGCCCATCGAGTCCGTCCCTTCCCTGTCCCCGCCTGTCTTTTGACTTAGCCTAAGATCTCCCAGAATGACCACAACTCTGCATATCGTGTGGCATCTGCCAGCTGCAGTCTCATCATGTGTCTGACTGTGCCACCACTCCCTACCCCACCTGTCCTGAGGCTGTGGCTGGAAGGCACGTGCCCCCGGCGTGGGGCCTGGTGCCCACATTTGTCGAACGAATGAATGAAACTGGTAAAGAAGGCAGGCAAGTGTGGGTCATTTTGCTTGGGAGATGCTGAAATGTCACTTGCAAGATGTTAAGCTTTTGAAGCTCCCTCATGGGCTCAAGAGCTGAACAAAAACTAAAAACTGGACCACTACTATACCTGCCTGTTACAGAGCTATAGAATCGCAGGAGGGAGCAGGGCCTACAGGGTGGCACCCTGAACTTAAAGGAAAACTTCGGGCCCGCAATATGGACTTGTGTTCAGGTCAAGACAAGGTTGCTGTCCACCCACTCAGCTGAAAATGAGCAATGCACTGAGCATTCCACTTGGCAGTGGAATTAGTCCCGCGGGGGAGAGATGTGGCCCTAGCCAGGAAACAGCGGTGACCAGTGCCGCCGAGTCCATCGGCTGCAACAAGGCCTGGTGGGTGCCAGGGAAGGGCGTGCAGGAGAGGTGAGTGGGAGACTCCATGTGGTGGGCTGAGGGGAGAGCCCTGAGCTGAAGCGGGCTGTGCTCGGGCAGTAAGGGCGCCTGTGTGTCTGGGCGAGCACGGGTGCCGACATTCCGCGTGTGTGAGAGCAGGGGCACAGAGGTGCTGAGCCTGTGGCCTAGAGGGCCCCTGTGAGGGCACGTCCCCAGGGTCTGTGAGACTGCTTGGCAGTGGAGACAGTAGCTTGGAAGGGAGAGGATCTGGAAACAGACCAGGTAAGAAGCTGGTGTCAGCCAGGTGAGCGAGCCTGCTCACCGCTGGTTCTGGAAGTTCAACCTGCTGTGTGTTCAGTTTCTATCGGAAACTTTGTTTTATGATGCCTTTGGTTAAGGGACCTAGTGCTACCTTTCCTCTGCAGCTCAGCCGACAAGGAGCTGGGTCCTACATTCTTCAACCTGCTGTTCAGAACACAAGACCCACATGTTTCGGCTCATAAATAAAACTCACTGCATAAACTCTGTGCTCACCATTTCTTCTACGATTTTGGGAACTTGCAATCACTACTCTACAGGGCTTCTGTGAGGATAGAGATGCTTATTAAGGGCTGAGCCCAGGGCCCACCAGAGCTGGCATCTTCCCAACGCCATAAGGAGCACCAGCAGTCACGCCCTCTGAGCCAGCCCTTGAAACAGTTGTTCTGGATGGAGATGATACAGCCCAGGATGCTGTGTCTGAGACGGAGGGTGACCTACATTGATGCTCCAGTGCCTGGTTTTCTTAGGCAACCAGAGGTCCTGGGCAGTAGCCTCTCATGGGACGGTCATTAAGAGCAGAATAGCTTGGTGTGGATTGCGCGGAACGTCCTTGGCACCAAGCTGAACTGCTACAAATCCTTCATCTTAGAATGGAAAGCAAAGCAAAGCAGGTTGTCTGGGTCTAGAATAGCTGGGGTATTTTGCCTGAAGAAAGCCATTCTGTCCAGAGCCGCCTTAGCTTCCCGCGTGCTTCCGATTCATTCCGCCCCTTGCCTCCTCAGTGCTTCAGACAACATCCCAAAAGCAGACGAGATCCGGACCCTGGTCAAGGATACGTGGGACACGCGCATAGCCAAGCTCCGAGTGTCTGCCGACAGCTTTGTGACACAGCAGGAGGTGCATGCCAAGGTGGGTGCCAGAGGGCTTCTTCTGTGGGGGCTTTGGCGCTGTGGAGCGCATACGGCATCCAGCGAGGAGGCTCTGCACGCAGCGGGTCACTGGCTGTGCTTTTCTCTCGGCTCACCGGTTTCTTATTTTTATTCAGTAGCGTACCTTTCCTCCTCATCAAACTCCTTGGCCAGCTTGATCTGTTTTCTTTTGTTTTAGCTGGACCACTTGACCTTGATGGAGATCAACACCAGCGGGGCCTTCCTCACACAGGCCCTGAACCACATGTACAAGCTCCGCACAAACCTCCAGCCCTCTGAGAGCACCCAGTCCCAGGACTTCTAGGGAACCTTGTGGTGTGTACAGCCCCAGGCTTGCTGGGAGGTGAGCAAATAGGACAGGGAGGAGGCACTCGTGGTTCTGGAGCTCTGGAAACATTTGTGAATGTGCGAGAAACGGGTCATGGTGCAGGCATGGGTTCGTAACATTGGAGAAGCAGCAGGCTTGGGATTAGCCCTCAAAACGTTCAAGTGCACAGCTGTTTCTAGAAGCCAGCCCTCCTGTTTTGCAGTTAGGAAAAAGCTTTAGGCAATGCTGTTCTCCCAGCTGTGTGAAGCCGTCAGGCACCGGTGGGTATTCCGTGACCGTCAGGTGTCCAAGCAGCAGGAGTGGTGATGCAGCCGAGGGCACTTTCCGTCTTGATTCTGATGTCTTGGGCAAGTTGGACTCTCCCTCCGAGGGCAGCCGACGGCCTGGCTTGAGATGCCGACTCTGCTGCCCCTCCACACCCAACCCACAATAAAAATGTGTCACCCCAAGTTGACTCTGGGTTTTTGTCCTACATAATTACCAGTGAAAGGACGGCCCTGTGGCCAAGGTCACCGCTGAAAGAGGCGCGGGGCAGTTGACTGCGAACTGCAGACCACGCTGGTGTCTTGGCCTCTCGGTTGCTTTTGCTGAGGTTTAACGGGCTGCTTAGCAAGAGGAAGTTCGGAAACCGATTGCGTGTGTCATGCCCGCGAGGGAAGCCTACAACACAACTCAAGGATGTTCTCTCTTCAACTCTACTCTCGATGCATTTAGGGACAGCTGTGTTGCAGGGACAGTGGCTCGGAGAAATTAAAGTTACTTCTGACTCATCTGTAGCGATTTGGAGTTGTCAGGTCCCTCAGACAAGCTGCATGACTTCGAGAGGGGAGAGGACAGAGGACTGTCCTGCATCATGCAGAGTAGCTTCTGAAACCAGCTGATTTTTAATTGGGTCAGAAGCAATGCCATGTTATCTGGGAACCAAGAGTGCGCGTGTACCACGGGCTCACCCAGGGGGCTTGTCTGGCATCGGCCCTTTGGCATCCAGGCTGCGTGAGTGCTGTTCCATGTGGCTGCCTGATGTCCCCCCAGCAGGTGCTGGTTAACGCTGGGCACCAAAGGGTCTGGCCCGGAGGCCTGGGGCCAGAAGACGGGGTCTCTAACTTAAGGCGCCATTTGAACGGCTGCAGGTACGGGACCCTCTGGTTTGCACCTGGGGGGTCTTGTAGCATGAAACCGCTTGGTTCATTTCCTCATGTTTCACCTGTGAAGCTACCAGTTGCTGAGCTCCTTTTTTGGCCCTATTATAACGTAAAAAAGATTTTCCTCTTAACATGATTTAGGAAGATTTTATTTTTTGGATGTTGTCAGAAATTACAGCAATATATTCATAAATACCTAATTACTACATTCAACAAATAATATTACAATACAATTCAAACAAGTACACTTAGAACAGGTTGAATTTCACAGCATCTAGACTGCCCCCAGAGTGACCGAGGCACGGGTGTTCCTCCCCACCCTCACGTGGGCTCGCTGTCCTAGCAGTTAAGCACAGGCTACACGCAAAAGAACACCACCGGTAGCGCGGTCCTCCTCAGGTCAAGGCAGAGGTACGGAGTTTAAGTTAAGCACTGGATCAAAGGTGGGGACAGGCTACTGCAAGGAGAAAGTCAATAGCTTGTTACTTGGAAGAGTACAGGTTGTGCTAAGTGGCTACTATACACTTCAAGGGCAACAGTCGGGCCGTTGCCATCTTGTGGTGAGCCCTGGGATTTCCTACACTTTAGCTAAACACGTGGCTCAGGGCAAGGGGAGCTGGTTGGAACTTGAGCTTAGTTTTTGAGCTCCTGCAGCACTGAGCTGCTGGAGGAAATACCATTCTGCTGCCAACTGCAGGTTCCCTGCGTTCTGATCCCCTGCGGAAGGTGCGTCTCTCAGTACTCTCTGAACGTCCTTATGTTTCCACTTCAGAATGTGAATGTCAACTGTTTTACTCAAGATTCGGATTTAGAACTCAAATGTTTACGGTCCTATTTTGGTCACTTACGTGAGACAATGGATTAGAAGCATGATGTTTTATCATGCCACTCTGGCTCTGATTATGTGAGACAGAAATGCAACTTGTTTCAAGATGTGGTCAGACGAGGAACCCGACGACTTGGCATTGGAAGGTGCCCTCAGAGCTCTGCGGAAGACAACGGCAGCTCCCCCAGGAGCGGGGAGGGCCAGCTGAAGGACCACAGTTGCAGAGTCAGCTGAGGGCAGGCACTGTGGACCGTGACACAGCTAAGGACAGGTGTGATGCATACTCTGTGCGACTCAGCTGAGGACAAGCATGATGTACTACTCCGTGACACAGCTGAGGACAGGTGTCATGTCACCTGGGTGACATAGCTGAGGTCAAGCGTGATGTACTCTACGTGACATAGTGAGGAGGCTGCAGAGGTCTCATATGCCTGTCCATCTGCGTTAGGGCAACTGAAAACAGACTTGGACGGTACTGTGTCCTTTCAGCATTATCTGACAATGCCATCGGGTTATAAACTAATTGGTGGATGAGAAAAACCATTGCTGGGTGCTGTCCTAGTAGTGCACTTTTGTTTTCAAGATGTCCTTCTTACCTTTTTCTTGGCTTATTCCTCCCGCCTTACTGGCTTGTGTTCGTGTTCTCTGATTGTCATTACTTCTCGAGGACAAAAGTATTCAGAGATTTTCCAGGTGGGTGGGAGAACAGTGATGCAGAGTGGGTGCTGAGGGGCGGGGCCAGGTGGAAGCGCTACCCAGGAGGGGACAAAATGGCTCCTGCTAGTTCAGCGACACAGCCACCACCCAGGCAGCCCACTCTAATGGTGCATCCTTTGTTCCATGTGCCATGAACTCTCCCCCTAACAAGAAATCCAACCAAGGGAGCTTCCCTTGGCTGGGAAGGGATGGGCTGTGCTTTTCTCTTCCATTAAGTTATTAGATCTATTTTTTCCTTTTACTCAACCAAGGCCATTACCAAAGCTAATTAGCAGAAGCATCTAGACATCTTCTGTGATGAAGGCCTGGGAGGGAAGTGCTAAGCTGTGACTCTTAAGCCTCAAGACCAGAAACCACAAGTAGATTTTAAGTGAGAAATTCAGTGAGGTTTTGTTTTGCCCTCATTGCTGGCAGCGGTTCGCCCTGAACACCTGTGGCACGTGCTGACCTCTTAGGGGAGGGGGCCCCCAGCACAGCCCATGGAGCTCTCTTCTAGTCACTTCTGTGGAGAGGAAGGCGCTTGTTGACTGCTGATAATACTGGCGGCACATTTGTCTGAGTTTGCTAATAACTGGAAGATTCTTGGCAGACATACAAAGCAAACTGTGCAGGGGCAGATAAAGGGACACGATGCCAGCTGCCAGCAAGCTGTTCCGCACAGCAAGGGCTCGGGCTGAGGGCCTGGCTGCTGGTCACAGCAGCGAGCAGCCGGCACACAGGTCAGCCGCCCTGCCCCAGGCCCGGCTCGTGCCCTTGTCCCACCCTGGATTCGTGACTGGCTGCCGTGGCCTCTGGCGAGGGCCCATCAGAGCCTTCTAGCTCTGCATGCAACACTGCCAGAACGGGGGGCAGACTCACCACTGCTTCCCCTCAGCGTGTGAGCCCTGTTCCTGGCTCTGCCTGCGCTTGTCACAGTAAGTTCAAAGGTGGGGCTCAGCGCACTGCTTCCCCCCTTAGGCCTTCAGAGCTCTGCATCTAAATCAAGCCTTTCCCGTTCCATTCTGCACCTGCGGGTCCAACCGCAGAAGTCGCTGACTTCCTGAGAGGGTTTTAAAAAAGCTCGAGCCTGAGTATGCATGTGGTTGTCACACACAGGCTCTATCTTGTTCCCTCCTGACTTAATAGCAACGGGTTCTACCTGCTGTCAGCTCAGCCCTAGCCCTGGGGTGGGAGCGGTGAGCAGTGTCGCAAGGCTTTCTGGGGCAGCTTCTGGTGAACTCAAACTACAAATGATCTCATAGGCGCCAGCAGGAAGCTCTTTCACTTTTCTTCTTCTTTAATTTTTAAAAACACTTCAATATTTTAATGTCCTGACCAGCAGCAGTACAAACACTAAAAGCAAGTTGGTTTTTTTTTTTTGCCCAGAAAAACAAAAACAAAAAACAAAACCCCCAAACAGGAAAAACAAACAAACAAAAATCCCCCAAACCACATATTAAAAATGGCAGGCTTTTTATAACAATAATTAAAGTAATAAAAACATACAAAACTTTGTTTTTTAATATATATACACAGTACAAGGCTGAAGCACCTTTGACTTTTCTCTCAAAATTGACGTTTGTAGGAAAGCCCCACCCACGGCGCTAAGTCTGCTGGGTGTGAGTATCCGTCTACAGAGAGCTCTGCACATGCCCCCGTGGAGTGAAAAAGGGACCTCAGGCTTTGGAGTCAACTTATCTTGCAGAAAAAGCTTTTCCAGGGAAAAGCTTTGGGGTTACCTGTGCGCTCCTAGGACCTGTTGCTTTGAGGAAAATTTTGCCAAAAAGTAACTGAAACAAATAAGCCCTTTCTACTTACACTGCACCCTACCTCTTTTCAGCTAAAGCCAGCCTCGCTCCTGGGAGCAGTGCGACCCACCCCATGGCTGCCACCAAAACACGCTCGGCTCTTGAGGCGTGGACACACGGCAGCACGGGAATGACCGGGACCGGCGGGGTCCGAGCGTCCACACCGGGGCTAGAGCAGTCCGGTTTAGTGTTGGTAATGGAGCCTTCTCGTTCAGGTGCGCAAATGACGACGTGGGGAAAGGAGGAAGAACCGCCTCGAGAAAGAAAAACTCCGGGGGTCCGACACTGGCTGTGCTGAAGGACAAGGGGGACTCAACTGCATCAAGGTCAAGGTGAGCTCGTCCTCTCTCCTGGAGCCTGGAACCCTTTGCTTCATGCATGGCACATTCTCCTTTTTAAGCTTCAAACCTCCCAGTGAAAAATATTAAATATTCAAGGTAACAAAATAGATAATATTTCTATACTATGGGTCCGGCCTGGTGCGAGGGGAACCGTCACCTGGGGTAGCCCTTCGAGCAGCCCCGAGGCCAGTGCAGTGCAGGCAGGGCAAGGCACTTCCGCAAGTGGTCCAGTTCGGCCTGGAGCCGCTCCCTCTCCGAGACGATCTTCTGCTTCTGGCTCCTCAGCTCCTGCGGAGGGAGGTCCGTGTCAGGGCAAGCCCGGCTCACCTGAGGACCCACATGTGGGACCTGCCAGGGCGGGATGCCATGGAGAAAGACACCCGTCCTGGCCTGGGCTCTGCAGTGGCCTCTGGGGACAGTCTGAACAGCAGCTGCTCTTTTGTTTTGAGTTGAAGTCTCACTCAGTCGCCCAGGCTGGAGCGCAGTGGCACACTCGTGGCCACCCCAGCGACGCTCTGCTGGGCTCTGGTGATCCTTCCGGCTCAGCCTTCCAAGTAGCCAGAACGACAGGCGCGTGGCACCACGCCCGGCTAATTTTCTGATTTATTGGAGAGATGAGGTCTTGCCAAGTTGCCC